TAGCAGTTAGAGCCTAGGAGATGTCTTGGGATCTTGTATTTCATGTTTTTGGGTATGTACTCAAGTCTAAAGCTGAAGCTTTGGCATGTAACATTCATTAACGTGATGGGTTTAAGTTCTAACTTCATAGCTAGGAAGAATATTTGGGCTATTTGCAATGCTGAAATTGTAGATGCTATTTAAATCCAGAGCTGGTCTGTAACTTCAGCTGGAGGGTGGAAACCCTTCCATTTCCTTGCCTTCACTGGGTTGAAACCAAAAATTTAAACATGTGGAAAAAACTTAAATAAGCAACTAGTGGCTCTTTCAAATGTTGAGTGTATATTTAGTAAATACAAATGGAGATTATGGACACAGCAAGGATCAATATATGTTTTGGCACATGCCACTCTTTTAACTTGCTCATAGTGGTGTGCTTTCTCTGTGCTGGGCTGCCTTGTGTTGCATGTCCTTCAAACTCTCTGTGAAGATAAAAGGAATCATGTTATGCAACCACCCTCTAGACTGCAGGTTATAGCAGCTCCCTGTCGATAGCATCTGACTTCTCTCTGCCCTTAAAACTTAAATGTTGATGTGAAAGGAAGCAATCCAGTGGCTTTTCAGCTTGTGGATGGTTGGCGACCTTACAAAGATGAAATAAGAAAAGCTGCATAAGAGCTGTGAGGCTGCACTAGGATTCTCCAGCTTTCCATGTAAGATGTCTTTACTTAGTTGTTTTTATTAATTTATGGAGCAAGATTCCTGAGCTTGTAAGCGAGTCCAGCTAATGGAGGAATTCCCTTATGTGTATTAAAGGCAACATAACAAAGGGAGAAGATGATTAACTGAAAGCAAGTTTTGACACATTCTCCTTGCCAAAAGACTTGAGTGATTGAAACAATGATTTAGGGATAACTATTACCTTAAATGGAGAAAGATTGTTCAAGCAATATTTGGCGTAGTAGTGTCATCATTCCTGAGCACCGCAAGTAGAAACTCCTGGGAAGGTCAGGAAGCTGTCTGAAATACATTTGAAGATGACAAGATTACGTGTAGGAAGGGATTTTGGTGGTAGGTTGCTGTGCTGTGTGTGACGTAGGTCTTGTGGGGTGGGTTTTTTTTGTGTCGTTTTGGTTGGGTTTTTTCTTCTGCAAAAGGGCAGAAGAATCCTTGGCAGGCTTTCCCATCTCTGGACTTGATTGCCTCAGCAGCCTTAGAAAGAGGAAACCTAGAAAACTCGTTGCATAATATTTTGGGTAAACTGAATGCTTGATGAGACTTCTGGGCTCAGCTTCTCATTTCCCTTCCAGGAGGTGGGTGGAAAGAGCCTCGATTTTGCTAGTGATTAAGGGAGTGGTGTGAGAAGAGCATGTTCAAGTTACTGTCTTCGTAGAAGAAATTTAGTTTCTTCTGATTATTTCCTGCAGGCAGTGACCAAGTGCAGTAGAGCCAGCTGAATGAGGCTCCTCTGATCCATCATAGAAACTTGGCTGCTCCTAGAATAGCAGATCTGAGAGCCTAGACTACAGGAGATCAACCTCGAGAGTGGTCCAGTGTGTTTTGTACCAGCTGGCATTTGAGACACCTGCTGGAGCTTTCTGGTGGCTCTGTAGGTGAGCAGGGCAGGACTTGCACATAGAGCTTCCTTGATGGAGACAGCAGTAGGCAGGCTGGGGTATTCAAACACTGTGATATGTGCCTGCTCCGCTCGTTTGTCTGGGCTCGGCATCAGTTCAAAACCAGGAGGTTGGCAGTGGGTTGCATCTGCTGGGATTGAGCTCTTGTTAGTCTTTTAAGTACTTCTGCCACGAACTCCCTGAACTCTACAAAGCTGCTGATGCCAGTGTATGGTCTTGTGCTTGCTGGGTGTGCAGGCACCTTCCCACCATTGCAGGATGGCCTTCAGAAGTGCAGGTTCAGCCTCAGGGAATGTTTTGGGGTATGCTCTGCCATCTCTGAATCCTTGTCTGCCTAGCAGCAGTAGGGTCCATTTCTGCTCAGCTTGGTAAATACCGTGTCGACTACCTCTAATTTTTGTAAATTGACCCTGACTGACTAAGGCCTGCAAGCTGTGGTGGATGTCTGCCCGTGGCGAATAGTCCCAGTAGCAATTTGGGAAGACTCCTTCAAAACCAGCAGCTATTTCAGGCACACGTTTTGTCCAGTGCCTGGAGCTAAACCACACCACTAATTGCCTTGCAAACCTCTCCTGCAGTGGCCCTGGCAACAGATCTGGCAGCACAGTCCATGGGAGGGAAGAAATTGCTCATAAGAGGCTTGTTAAATGAGGGAGCTCTGGCATCTGCTCATTCTGAATTTGAGATGTGGCTGATGCTGGATCAGGGCAATTTATCCTTGTTCCCTTTTTGGAGGGAGGAACTGTGTTCTATGTCTGTGTATGTAGTGTGGCACTCTCACCATGTGTTTAGTTTCCTTTCTTTAAAAACAAACAAAAAACACCAGAAAATAAACCAAAAAGGGTGGAGGGGATTACACAAGTGTCCTGGGGATTACAGAACATGCTGCAGTTCTTGGCCCATGGACCAGATAATAAGGAAAATATGAAGAATCTCTCTGAGATTATTATGGTTTTCTTTTTCTGATCTCTCAGTGAAGAACATTGCCCTTGTTGCATATAAGCTTGCTGCTTTAGGTGGTCTACTAATAGTGATTCATGAGGGTGAAATAATTTGATTCCTAATTCTCCCTTTTGAATAAAACTTGGTGTTCTTTACTGCTTGATAGATGTAAAAGGTCAGACAGTGACTTTGAATTCTGCAGGGCAGAGAAATTAAAACTGAAGCTGGAGAGGGATAAGGAATAACTCCATAAATGTCCAAATCAGAACGCTGAATTTCTAGATAGACTGATAGTCACACCACGTTTGGGTCACTTAACACTTTTTTTTATAAATACTGCTTTCTGTTTCCTTAATGAAACACAGGACTTAAATGCTCTTCCTTGGGATTGTCCCTTCTAAATTCAGATCCTGTAAATGATTTTTATTTACACATTTGTATGTTCACATAAGTGAATTTCTCCTCCATCTTTCAAAGATTGCTCAAGGCCACAGAAGACTTGAGACCTAATTTATAGTTGATTAATAAATTATTTCCTTAAATAGTGTGCTCTTAAGATCCTGGATAGCACTTTTTGAGTCATGGATTCATGAAAAGAGAAGACAACAGTTTTGAAGGCTGTTTTTTTCCTCATTAAATCTTCAAAGCAGCAAGGTAAAGGGACAACTTGCAGTCAGCACAGCACCTTCTGGGGGCTTCTCCCGTGGTGAGGTGTTCTGTTGCCTGCACATAGGTGCTCTTCTGCTGGACAGCTCAGAAGCTTGTATGCTGCATTTAGGATCCCATGCCTGGTGGTTTGTTTGGATTTTTTGGGGGGGGAGTGGGGAGTGTGTTTGGATTTATTTTGTGTGGGTGGGGTTTTGGGTGGGGTTGGAGCAGGGGGAGCTTGCTTAGACTGTATGGATGCTCTAAAAAAGGGAGAAACCATTTCTTACCCAGGAACAAGCAACTTCCATGGAACACTGAGAGAGAGGAGTGAATTACAGCATCTCATATCTGGCAGGTACCTCTGGTGGGACAGATTACAGGGATTGTATCCTCCTCGGGGAGGCACATGGTGGTTCTCATGTTAGTGCTGCCTGAAGTGAGCTGGTTATGCTGTGGTGCTGCTGGTGCAGAGTGGCTGAGACTCTGTAGGTGTCCCTGAGAGGGGACAGTTTGCTGATGGCTCCTTGGAATGCAAAGGAGATATGCCGAGACCCTCAAGGTCTCCTCTCTGGCCATCACCAGGTTTTCAGTATGGTGCCAGATCTAAGTGAATAGATCAACAGCGACCTGTGCTCTTCCTGTAGCCACCCACATGCTGGTGAGGTGGTGGTGTGTGGGCAGGGCTTGTCTATAGTGCAGGCAGCTGGCGAAGGCTCTTGGGCCTGGGGATGTGCTCTGCCAGCGGGGCAGCTGCAGCTCTGTCGGTGAGCTCTGCTGGGGAACTCTGTGCTGTTAAACCAGAAACCCCCCGGGGCAGGTCGGGGTGGTGGGAGCCTGCTGGGTGCAGCCAGGACCAAGTGCTGCAGCCAGCCCTAGCCCTCCTGGGCAGCTCCAGCCTGGAGCTGGGGAGTCACACCTGCCCCATGGGCCCTGCCCCACGCCAAGCATGGAGCAGGAGAGGTGGCCAGAGTTCAGAGCAGTGACGTCAACATGCAGACAAAGATAACTTTGTTGTGACCTAAGCTAAAAATTTAATACCAGCTCACCCAGTCTCTAGAAAGATGCACCAGTTGGGGTGATAAGTAGCAGACTGACAGTATCTGCTGGAGCCTTGTCCTTTGTCAGTGGTGACACAGGAGTTTCATGGCTTATTCTGCCTTCTGGGCTCTGTTTTCAGAGGGGGGGTGTGCTTAAAGTCATTAAAACCATGAGAAAAATTCTGGGAACAAGGATGATCTGCTAAACTTTATTCAGCTTACAAACTAAATGCCACTTGTGCTGAATGGAGCTGTTGCTAGAAACTGTTAGGAAATTTCTAGAGAATTCTAGAAATAGCTGGGAAAATCCTGGTGCTTCCTAGAAATTACTGGCTCTGGGAGTGAGCAAGGAAATCCTGGAAACTTTTGAGAATGCAAAAAAAACTTCTAAACCCTATCAGAAGTTCAGAGAAACTTAGCAGTTAATAGAGTCCTTAAAAGGCACTTGAAACTAAAAGCTTCTAGAGATTCCAGCTGAGATATTCCAGTAGCCACCAGAAGTCTCCAGGAAATGCTAGAAATTCTGTGGGAATCCAGTCAATTCAGTGACTCTGCTGGCGATTTTTACAATGTACAAGCATTTACTGGGAACAGGAAATCTGTTACCTGCTGTCTTTTTGGATAAAATGGCAAATGGTTCTACACAGGTAAAACCTGCTCACCTTTCCTAAGCTCTCAAGTGTACAGTTTTAGGATTTCACTCACTGAGTGTCCTGTATGTGCTTGTCTTACCACAAACTTGTTTTCTTCTCTGCAGTCCTATTTTGTTACGGATTATGATCCAACGATCGAGGACTCCTACACCAAGCAGTGTGTGATAGATGAACGAGCTGCACGCTTGGACAGTAAGTAGCCTGACTACAGGATGGTGCTGACAGCCTGTGTCCACATCTGTATGTGCAAAATGTGAGGCAGGTAGACAGCTGTGCAGCACATGGCTCTGATGGAAGCCTGCGGCTGAGAAAAGCTACCGAGCTTTGCTTTATTTATGAGATACCCAGGATTTGAAATGCTTATGCCTTACATATGTGTGTCTCTCTAAATTGGTCATTTTTGGGAAGAATTATTCCCGAAGCCTCATTGCCTACAAAACTAGAATTTGTGTAACTCGTGGCAGTTACCTAGGTGACATGGTGGAAGGAAAAACACATCGCTTGGCTGTTGTGTGCTGCCTCTCCCAAGTCCAGTATAAATGCTTTGCTTTAAAAGTTGCAGTTCTCCCTTGTCAGTGCTTTCTTTAAGGACAAACCAGCAACCCTCCCAACTGGAATAGGTTGCTCATACAGGTGATGGAGGCCCCGTCCCTAGAGACATTCAAGATCAGGCTGGATGAGGCTCTGAGTAGCTTGATCTAGTTGGAGCCGCCCCTGCCTATGGCAGGGGGTTTGGACTAGATGACCTTTGGAGGTCCCTTCCAGTCCAGACATTCTATGACTCTGTGATTTTCTAGCTGTTCTGGCTGGTTGTGAGTTAGCAAAAGTCCACCAGACTTTGTTGTTCAGTGTATTTGGTAGGTCTTGAATTGCTCAGTCTGGGCAGCTGTTGGAAATCTTAGCAAAATTAACTGTTGGAAGTGATCTCTGCTTAGTTACAGCGTACAGGTGAGGCTCTCACAATATCCTATTAGGAAGGATTTTTTTTCCTTAGTCTGTACTCTTGAGAACATGAACTGTAGTAACCAATGTTTTGCTTATGTTCAGTTTTGGATACAGCAGGACAAGAAGAATTTGGAGCCATGCGTGAGCAGTACATGAGGACAGGGGAGGGTTTCCTGCTTGTTTTCTCAGTCACTGATAGAGGAAGGTAAGCCTGGTGTCAATTTGTTAAAACAAACAAGTTGGAATTAATCTTAATTGCTGCTTACCCTTTATAGAAAGTCATCTCAAACCAGAACATGAAGTAGGTGCTGTGGGGGGATGCTCTTTCAGCACTGATGGAAACCCATTTGAAACTGATTGTACCTGTCTCTTGCAGTAGGTGACTTGGAAGCATACACAAAAAAAAGACAACTCTGTTCAGACAGTTCCTTACAGTCCAGAATAGCAGCTTCGTGCCAGTGGCAGAAATTTGAAGGAAGGGCCACATGCTCTGATGTCTGGTCAGGTCTTAGGACTGGCCCCTTGCCGTGTGCTCATCAGCATGGAGTGGCTGGCTCTGAGTGCCTCCAGTTCAGGGGGTGTCTCTGCACTCTTCTGCAGGCTATGCTCACTCTGCTTGCTCACATGAATTGCCTGGGACCTGCATAACTGACTGACTGCAGAGTTGAGGTGAAACATCTTTTCACAGGCTCGTGGAGCTTGCTCAGTTAGATCCTGGTCATTGTAAGAGTAGGAGATTGTCATGTATATGTGGACATCACTTAATATTTTGGCTGTGATCGTCCTCCACTGATCTTATCAGATATGTGGTTAATAAAGGAGAAGTGTTTGGGCATCTGCCCTTCCACTTGTTTCAAGTTGCAATAGAAGAGCAATAAAATGACCAAAAAAAAAAAAAAAAAGTTCATGACTTTTTTCCCTCCCTTCCAGATTCAGTCTAGGCTCCAATAAGTTAACTTCTGGTCTTACTAACAGCTCATCTATAATGGGAATTCACATAAATATTCTGCAGAGAATGTTTCCACTGGATCTGTATCTTACACTTAAGAATACTGCTAAATATAAATTTGTCTGATAGACTGTCCAGAAGAGACTGCTACATTCTGTCAGAGATGTCAGAGTCTGTGGATTTAAGACTTACTAAGCACTCACGTTAACATAAATGCTTTTGCTACAAAGGACTGTATAGATAATGTATATGTAAATATTGATCACCAGTGTCTCTAGACTACTGTTTGAATATTCTCACCAGAGTTGGACTCCAGAGTCAGTGTTTGTAGAATGGACTGTGGCTGCTTGATAGTCTCCAACACGTTGGCTTCCATGTCCCTCTGGATTGAGACACAATAAGTGTTTGCTTACTCTGCAGCCCCACCTAAGTCCTGTGCATAGCACACTGAACGGGAGGATTTTTTTGGTTTGAGTGTTGAATGGTTCTCTAGCTGGTCATGCTGTGATAGTGGACTCTGGAGTGCCTGCAGCTGCCCCTACTTGTGTGGCAGGGCAAGTCCAAATAGGTGACTCATCATTTCTGAACTTCTGCAGAACCAGAGAATCTATGAGTTGGTGTACTGATCCTCTGCTTCTCTTCTTTCACAGTTTTGAAGAAATCTATAAGTTTCAGCGACAAATTCTTAGAGTGAAAGATCGTGATGAGTTTCCTATGATTCTAGTTGGTAATAAAGCAGATCTGGACCACCAAAGACAGGTAAATCATTTGCTGTTAGTTACTGCACACTTTCTTCTACAAACTTTACATTTTTCCTCCCAAAAATAGAGTAGGAACAGGAAGCAAGAAAAAAAGTCATACGAATTCCAGTGCAAGAAACACTACTACACTCGATTTCTGTACTTGAAGAAACTAAGTGTGATGGCATTCCACATATAGCAAATCTTCTGCCTGACTCAGTGGGGTTATGTTGAGACCAAATCTATTCGTGTACAGAGTTGAGAGCTTTGTCATGACTTGATTACTCAGGCATGAACGTGTCTAATTCCTCCGTTCTGTTACTCACCATAGTGCTGTGCCAAGCAGAGTGCATTCCAGCACTAGCCCTAACGATCCTGAGCCTTCAGTGCTGTTGCTTTTACCCTTCACTGCTGTGATGTACAAATGAGCAGCCAGTCAGCATTTGCTGTTTGGCTGCTCATCTCCTGCACAACTTATGTAAAGCTTTAAAAGTTGGAAGTACAGCACCAGAATTACTGTTGTATTTATGTACCTTAAAGTTTTATAACTAGATTTCAACCTCACCTCTAGGTGTGAAAGAGCTTAAAGGGTTTAATTTGGAATCATTTAAAGAAGGAGCTTTAAATTTGTTTTCCCTATTTGATCTTGGGTTTTCATGAATCAAACTGAGCTGAAATGACAATAATCTTATGACATCATCAGGAAAGGAGCAGATGTCAAACTTGTGTTCTTCAGCAATTTATTTTAGAAGTTGAGTATTTTCTCCTTGAGTCAGTATGATGACTCCTAAAGCTTGCTTAGCAAACACATGACTAATTTTTTTTATCTGAGAGCAAATTAAATACTACTAAAGTTGCTATAACTCTTAAGAGTTTCACAAGGAAAACACAGCTTTAAACAATAAGATACTCTCAGATTTGTGTACCAGGACATGACTTAGTTTCTGTCCACAAATGCTTGCATAGGTTTTGTTCTTTACTAAATAGAGTCTTTGTCAAAAAAGTGTCTGGAGCAAGAAAGTGTGGCTCAAAACAAGTAACATTAACTACTTTAGTGGGTTAATATGTTGTTGTTGAATGAGTTTCTTTGATACCGCATAAAATCTTCAGGATAAAGTTCCTACCGAGTATGGTCCCTTGGTGTCACAGCCTCTTTACTCCAGAACCTGTGTAGAAAGATCATGGCAAAATTAAAACCTACACTGAAAGATCCTGTCTTGAATGAAGCCTTCACAGTAGTACCTGATGAAATTATCAGAAGTAACTTCATGTGCTGACATGTACACAGAACTATCAACTTGTCCAGTCACAGAATGCTTTGAGTTGGAAGGGACCTCAACAGGTCATCTAGTCCAATCCCCCCGCTGTGAGCAGGGACATCTCCAACTAGATCAGGCTGCTCAGAGCCCCATCAAGCCTGACCTTGAATGACTCCAGGGATGGGGCCTCCACCACCTCTCTGGGCAGCCTGTTCCAGCAAAACTGTTTCACTCTTCAGTTACCATCATGCCTCCATCAAAATTCCCAAATTTAACCTTACAGGTGCTGGAACATAATGTACTTTATCTCAAGCACAAATATTGGCATGGAAACAGTGTAGGTGAAACTGAACTGTTATGCAGACTGTAATGGCTGAAGGACAAACACGCAGCTGCTTTGGGAGGGAAATGTCATCTGGTCAGCCCCAGCTCTCAGCAGTTACCCACAAGCTTAGTGTGTAATTCTAGAAAGAGTTACGAGCTCTGTTCCCTCTCCTCCACCCTCCTGATGTTATTACACCACATCTGTTAGTCCCTTGAAGGAAGAAGGAGGAGCTGTTACCTGTTCTCCTGCCAGTCCCTCTGCACCTGATTCCCAGCTGCTCGTTCAGGTGGGGATGGGCTGGTACATGGTCATGGTCAAAGCAGCTGCTTTCAAATTGCAGTTTTGCTGCTTATGTCTGAACACCAATAAAAGCATGTGTCCCCAAAAACTCCTTTTGCTTTTTATGGCTTTATTAATTGCCTTGATTGTTTCAGTGTTGGTGAGCATAGCTTCTGGTGCTGTCACTGACAAAACTTAGATGCAAATTGGTGGATTTATGACTTCCATCATAAGTTGAGGCTCAGCTGGTCTGCTGAAATGGCTACTTACATGTTCTTAATTCTTCCCTGTCCCTTCCCTGTCATGTGGTGTGTTTCAGTTGGCCTTAAGTCAGTCTGAAGGAATGGTTTAGGGGTGCTGAGCTGACACAATCAGCCCCCAGAAGGGAGAGGCTCCCTTTCCTCTTGACTACACATTCCTACTCTTCCCTTTGCTGGCCCTAGCTCTCACTTGAAGCATTTGGTGAGTTGAATCATCTCTCTAGACAGGGATAAAAACAGATGAGCTGGAATGGTTTTCTGGGACCTGTGTGAGTTAAATCAGCTTGCAGAAAGATTTGAGTGCCAGAGCTGAAAGCATGGGAGGGGGTGGGACTGTGGCTTGGAGCAGAGCAGGGAGGAGTTGGGGTGGAGGGAAGTGAGACCTCGCCTTTTGGCAGCAGCAAGCAGTTAGATGTTATCAGCTGGATGTTAAGTGCAGACAGTCTCTGCTTTATCCGTGGGGTTGTTTCTGCTTCATCATGTGAACTCTCCATGCAGGCATCCAGTTAGTGAGCTGGACGAGCTTGCTGAGCTAGCTTAAAAACTGGTCCTGCCATCATGTCTCCCAAAGAATGGAGGATCAGGTCATCCTGCTCTGGCTAGTTTGCTGCGCAGGCAGCTGCCGTGGGAGGTCTGGGAGCAAAGGCAGGAGTGCTCCCTCACCTTTGATAGGAGTGCTGGGGTGAGTGGGGAAGTGTGGGATGTCCTCAGGCTGTGACTCGTGGGCAAAACTGTGGGAGGTGCTAGTCCTCTGCATTTTCTCCTTTTCAGTCTGGTGCTGTCAGACCTCCCTTTGCTTACACTGGAAAACTGGTCAGCCAGGGTGGAGTGTCACACTGTGCTCCTTCTACTTATCTGGCAGTTCTACAAGAAGTCATCTTACTCTCTTAACTTGTTTAATCACAAATGTCCATTCTTCAGCTTTAGGATTTAAGTAGCATTTTTAGAAATTTGGGAAACTGGGTATGAGTTTTTAGAGCAAAACTATTTGTATGCCTTTCTGTGAGAGACAAGAGACAGAACAGTGAAATAAGAGAGAACACATGCTACCTCTGAGAACATAAAACTAAGGAAAAGTAATTTAGTGTGTGTTTTGATTGGCAAACAATACTCAATTAACACACAAAGCCCAAAGGAGTCAAACATGTACAAAAGTTTTGGATGTCTCAGGGGTCTGATGACACCTTTATAGAAGAAACTGTGTTTCAGCTGAACACAATACAAAGTACTATCATTGTGATGCTGTAAATTTGGAAGCAAGCAGTGCATAACTAATCCTTGTGTGGTGGCAACTTTTTTTTAATTTTTTTAAAAATAGGTGGACTGGGTTGTAAAGCAGAAGGGCACAGATGATAGTATCATCTTGATGAAGCACTGGGGCATAGCAAAGGTGTAGTCTGAAATGGTGGCTGTAATATGCTACAGGTCAACTTGGGTATTTCTGGAAGAAGAGAGATGAAAGGATGAGCTTGAGACACTGATTTGCTATGGTAATAACTGTACAGAAAAATGGAATTAAGCAGACTTTGTGTAATTAATTTTGTCTCTTGTGGTATGAGTTCAAAGTCCTCAATATCCACAGATTGATAAAGAAAAGATTGAGAAAGAAAAATTAGTTGCAAGAGAATGAGCAAGCATTAACTTTTAGACTGTCCTTGTATGGTAAGGAATAAGGCTTCCAGTGTTTCCAGATTCCCCAGTCAGTCACAGATTGGTGACTGTGGAACCAGGACTGAAGCACCATCTCTCATTGGTCTTTCTTTCAAGTAAATGCTGTGTAGCAGTCTGTCTCTCAAATGGGTTAATTCTGTACAACTCGGGCAACAGTGAACATTTCTGCAGTAAGACAATTTGGAAGAGCACCAGGTGTTTTAGTAGTAACCACTACTGACAGAGGAGTAGACTTGTCAGTGCAGGATATATATGACTTCTTGTAGATAACTGCTAGCTTAATCTGGGTCAAGTCTGATCATTCCCCAGGTGGCAGGGTTTCAAGGAAAATCCAAGCTGCAACAAGAAAGTGCTTGGGTTTCATTAAATGCTAGTTTTTGCTATTGCATCGTGACTGAGCTAACACAATGACCTAGTGTAAGATCATCTGTGCTGCTAAATACCTTTAAAGCAAGGTCTGTGTGACTTCAGTTCATGCACGGAGAGATGATGAGCATAGAGCTGATGATGCCAGGCAAGCAGCCTTGTGCTCTGACCTCGATCTGCATCAGCCTAGGTGCTACCAAGGAAGCAGTTACATTTTGGCTTTGTAGACTCACTGCTTCACAAATAGCCTGGCCTGAGGTGGCTTATTGCAAGGGGTAGATGGGTACAGGGACCTGGGTGGTGGCTGACCCCAATTCATTAATATTTTATTTTGGCCTTTCTCTTTTATGAACTTGTATGAAAGTGTGACAGTAACTTCTTGAGGTGGTAGATTTTGTGGCCATCCACAGTGATGCCTCTGTCACAGGTGGGACATACCTTCACGTCTCCCCATGGCTGGCCTGATTTTCAGCATGACGGATAACTAGCAATTAGGCATCTGCTGCAGTGTTTGAATGTGTCAGTGGTTCATAACCATGGTTTGTGTATACCAAAGCAACCTTCTTATAAGAGAATGCAGACAGAATAGAATGAATGGGTAGTGAAGTACCCCTACAGGAAAGCATTATGGTAGTCCACTGTAAGTGTGAACAAACAGCAGTAGTGGGTGGGCTGGTGAGGCAGAAAATCAGGCTGACAGATGTGCTCCTCAGGAATGATGGAGCTCTTGGCAGGAATGGGAATGATTCTGTGCAGGCAGCACTGTAGGGTGACCACAAGAAGGTAGAAATGGATTCCTCTCAAACTTCAGGAAAAGCTGAACTGTTACCTGCTAACCCAAGTACAACGTGGTCTTCATTCATATATAAGTATCTAGGCAAAATATAGATGCAGTGTTGGGCAGCCTTGTAGGGTTGCTTTAGGTAGGGGGAAAAATAGAAACTTCAGAAATGAATCAGTTTCTGACAGTTCTCAGATACAGCACTGAAGAGGGAGGGCTGCGTGAGATGTTCACAGGATTCTTGCACAGATACTCAAACTTTGAGTAAGACAGTTAACTCAAGGAGTTGTGGGGAATAAGCTTTTCCATGTTAGGCTTACATCTTATACAGTGGTGTTTATTTTGAGAAACTTTTACCAAATGTCTGAAGAGCATCAACGAATGATACCTAAAAGCAGTCACACAGCCTGTAACAAGGGTGAGCCCCGTGATTCCCACTCATGGGCAGCCTTAGGCTTACCAAACCCAAGAGGTTTTCACTGCAGAACCAGCACGTGCACACAGACACATACAGTTGCTACCAGAAAATCTGTGGTTCTCTTTACTTCTGTCAAAATAAAATAGTGTTCTTGGAAGGAAAAGAGTTTTTATTTTGCTGGTGTTGTTTAATAAGCTCTCCCATCCCACTTGCTGAAAAGCCTGTTGTGACACAGTATTGTCATACTTAAGAAGGGAGAAGAAAAAGATGTAAATTCATTTGTTTTCAGGTATTTCTGTGTTCATACTTACATTTCCCTCAGCTTTGAAAATGGAACTGGTATGTTCTGGCCTCTAATTTACAGCTTGGGCACAGCAGATGCTTTTGTAGTGTGCCCAAACCCAAGGGTTTCCTTTAAAACTGACTTTGTGTGTTGAGGTCACTAAAACTGACCACAAGCTGCTTAACAATATACTTGTAAGACTGACAAAAACATTATTTTGGAATTGAGCAATTACAGATGTTCTGGTAAATACAGTAAGGGCTTTAATGTTGTACCTATAGCATTTTAAAAGCAGAATGTTGTGAAAGTGAAGCTTGACTTTATTACAGAGTTAGTTGGACTCGTACCTCTGATGTGCTTTAGATACAATCATGAAGAAAGTAGTAGCCACATATGTTTAAAGACTGGGTCCAGTTTCTTCTCAGGACTATACACTCCTTCCCAAGTATTTATTCTTATTAGACTTAACTCACTTTCTGGGGCTACATTAGACTATGGAAGGATGATGTAAATAAAATAAAGGGGCTTAGTTTTGCAACAATGGCCCTACCTGTATTTCAACTTACTTTTCTGTGGTGTGTGAGGCAGAGATACATAGAAGGTTCTAGAAGCCCTCATGCAAACTTTAGGGGGTTCTGCACTGTCATTGATGTGCCAGAAAACAGCTATTGAATGTTTCTTAAAGTGCAGGCTTCCTGAGCTTTGGAATAATGATATTTCATCATCTGGGGCTATAGAGGAAGGTGGAAGTGGTTTTTGTCTAGCTTGTTCTAGGAACAAAAATCTTGAGTACCATTCAGGTTTCAGATGGCAGTGGAGGATAGAAGGATCCCAGTCATTCTCACTTCATGCACTGTAGTTAAAAATGCAGGTCCAGTAGCTGATGGTGGGTTGGTTTTGAGGGTGTTCTTTGTAACAACTGTAACAACACTGACATTAATGGAGCATTTCCAAAAATGTTTGAGATCAGCAGGTTTGTCCTGTGTTACTCCAGCTAGTGGCCCAAGGGGCTGGGAGCTCCTTGGAGAGCTTCATGAGGGTTTAGTGGGAGCAGCCCTCAGTTCAGCAGTAAGTGTATGAATATAATAACCAGTGGGGGTACTAAGGACAGAGGAATCAAGCACGTTGAGCTGCCTGGCATGAGTGCTCTCAAACCCTGTGTGTAGCTGTTGGGAAAGTATTTTGCAAACTGAACTGTACTTCTGTTTCTTGCACTGTTGTGAATGCTGCCAATGATACTTTTCTATTCCCATCTCTTTCCATTTCTGTGTAGCTTCTTAAGTGAATATCTGAGTGCCTTTTCAAAACAAAAGTAAAAATAAACTCTCACTTTTAATTTGTTCTCATCATATCAGTCCTCTATGTGCCAGTTCAATGTTTTTCTGTGAAAGCAATGTGACCTCTGACATTTCTTCACTAGCCATTGTCTTGGGAAGATCAGTTGTACTTCCTTTAATCCCTGAAGGCTGCCCTTTCCTCCCTGGCTCTGTGGGTGACCTTCCCATTGAAGCCTCACTTACCTGGCACTGTTCAGCGTGGCCTTCTGTTTACTTCATCCAAAACCATGCAGTGATCTCCTTTTGGTTTGTCCTGTGACCAGCTTATTCCTCCTTCCTGTAATGGTCCACTAGCTTCCTGCCTTCTGCTTCAGCACTTTAAATGTTATACCAACTCTTTGATGCTCATTATTTTCTCTTCATCTTCCCTTCCTCTGTTGTCCCAGGGAATCAAAAGGTAGACAGGATTTCTCTAATGTCTCTGGATGTCCTGAATGCTTCATGGATTTAGAGATATCTTGTAATTTAAGCTGTGTTTAAAACTGACTGTATTAGTATTTTCCTGTGTCATAAGTAGAATTCTGTTAGTGACTTTTACATTCGGAAGCTAAACATCAGTTCTTTTACAAGTAGTAATCTGCTTCGGTGGTTTTGTTGGTGGTGTGATGTTTTGTTTGTTTGTTTTTTCCCCTCTTTAGATTTAGCTGGGACAGGGAGAAGGTGAATTTAGCAACAGTACTCCCAGTTCTGTTAGCAAGTGAACAGATACTGGCTGAAGCACAGGCTTTGAGGGAGACTGAGGGACTCTTGTCTGCCTGTGAAGGAAAACTTGGTCTCATGCAGAAGTACAGTGAAGATGAGGCAGCTGCAGTGAGGGGAGTCCTTTGGAGGGTCAGTCTTTGTCTGTTGCAGAAACTTCTCTTTCAAAAAGTCTTCACGTGCATTTGAAAAGATGTGTTATGTGAATTTGTTTCCTAGTTGTATTATGTGGACAGTAGAGAAACTATTGTATAGCCAAGTATTATTGTGTTGAGGGAAAGATTCTTAGCTTGTATAAGCAGTGTCTCCTGCTGGAAATGTCTGCAGGAGCCTGGAACTTACTGACTGATGTCTATTACAGGTGACACAAGAGGAAGGTCAGCAGCTAGCACGGCAACTTAAAGTAACATACATGGAAGCCTCAGCAAAAATCAGATTGAATGTAGACCAAGCTTTTCATGAACTTGTCAGAGTTATAAGGTATGATAACTTCAGACCAGATAATTTGTGTCCCTGCATTAGTGGGGAGCTGCTGCAAGTGTTTTGAAATCACTGAGAAAATTCTGCCTGCTGTTACCTGTAAGCTTTGAGCAATGGTCTCCATTATAAAGTATTCCTGTGAATTAGGAAGAATGTTTATGTGAATGCAACATGTATTTGAAAGATAATTTCTTCAGTTCATGTCTCAGATTTTTTTGATCGCATAGTAGGTGAGCCTGATAAACTAAATGTGAGACTGGCCTTCTGTAAAAAATGGTCTTTCCTTAAAAGAAAAACACAAGCCTCAAAAACCTGTCGCTGATTAAGTCAGTAGTTTGTCAAAAGTAAGCCCATCCTCTATAAAACTGTAAAACCAGTAACTTTAGATACCATATTTATTTTTATTTAGCTGAAAATGATTCTATGAATTTAATTTGAAATATCTGTTTCCAGGAAATTTCAAGAACAAGAGTGCCCTCCTTCACCAGAGCCAACACGGAAAGAAAAAGACAAGAAAGGCTGCCATTGTGTCATTTTCTGAAAATCCCAAGAACCAAGCTATCAACTGCCAGATTTTTATTTTTAATTTTTTAAAATTTTTTTAAAGTTTTTTTTTTTATTTTTACTTTCCATCATTTTACATCACTTCTGGTTTTGGTCTAGCATTATATGTGCATGTCCTAAAAGTGGTCACCAGAATAGCCTTAGTCCAAGAAGCTGGCAGAGTAGTTCTTGAAGAAGACTCAGTCATCCTGGGGCAGACTTCAAAACAAAACACTAAGGCTGCTTCTTTAATACCACAGTTCCTTCATCCTCTCCCTTAAGAGCTGGCACCTTGTGGAGTTTTATTCGCAAAGGAGATGAAACAAACCGTGTAGGACAAGGTGTTGAAATCATGCCTAAGGTGTCTCTTGTGGATTAATTTATTTTTACTTCTGACATTTCATTAGCTATTACAAAGACCTATATTGAAGTATAGAGAATACTTTAAAAAAAAAAAAAAGGGGTGGATTGGCTTTAGTTTTTTTGCCCTCAGTTAAATTAGACTTGAGTATTCAGCTAGCCTTAAGAAACCTACACTGAATTTCATTGTCAGCAAAAATTTTTGTGTCTCATTTATGCTGCAGTTTTATTTCAGTGGCCAAAACAGTCTACTGTATTTATTTTATGAATCCAGAACAGCTACAGGATGATTACTACTACTATTAGGATATGGCCAAATACCTGAGCTCATTCTGGATAGAGGCATTTCACCATATTAAGAAATTTCACATCATTTGTTTGGAAACAGATTGTGTCTTCCTTTGTATTTCTGGGTAAGGGATTAAGGAAAACTAAAATTGTAGCTGTTTTTGTTTCATGTGATATAAAAATGAATTTGATCTTTCCATTGTCAGAGATGATTAAATGTTTTTGCTATATACTTTTATACATTATTTTCTTATCAAACTAGTTAACAAGTATTTTTATATGTTTGTAAGCAAATATGCTTTCACAGCATAACTTGTGTATATGTAAAGATGAGTATTTAATTCTCACAGTTCACTTTTAACTGACAAAAATGTGGGATTTGCCAAACTGTGGTAAACTTCTCCTTATTCTTCGGTTATGCCCAAGAATGGCCAATGATGTGCCTGCCCAACACACCCACAGAGTAAAATCTAGCGTTGTGTTTTGAGGAATTTCAGTATCCCTTACTAAAGACTGACCATTATGTGAATTATTAAACTGTAAGACTTTTAACTGATTGTTTAGTTAAACTGTGGATGGTTGTTTGAGTTCTGTGGATTGTGTTTAAACAATTCAAGAGTATGGTCCCTGATATTGAAATACTGAGTGGTATTGCACAGTTGTCACCTTACTGAATGTGTCCAACAGTTCTTTGAAACTTGATTATTAAGCAAACCCTTGTATAACTTCAGGTGCTAGAATTAAAGATGATCTAACCATTATCAGGGGGTAAGCACATTGCCTCTTTCCGACTCTCTTCCAAAACCTGAATTTTTGGGGGGCAGGGGGAAGAAGGGGATGATGGGACCTGGTTAGGAGGTAGATGTGCACATCTGCATGACCTTTCTTCCAGCTTGGAAGTAAAGAAAAGCCATTTCCATATAAATCATGATAAAGCTGTTTTGTGTTTTGACTGAAGTTTGCACTCGGTGGCAATCAACAATTCTTGTGTTTTCAGACTGTGGTTGCTCTGCCTTAAATCTGTACATTTTTGCAGAGAAAACAGTGCTTAGGCAGCTAGCTTTACAGCAGCAAAGCATTAAGCCTAAAAGTAGCACTAGTGCCATGCATAGCAGAGGAATCTAATTTAATGTAATTTAGGTTGTGCAATGCTATTTTTAGAGAGTGAGTAGCTTCAGCAACCCCCACCCTCACATCCCCCCCTTTAAATAAAGTTAGTGGTTGGTGAAAGGCTACTTATGAATAATGTGTAGAAGATTCAAGAAGTTGCAGAGGAAGTACATCTGGGAGATGGATTACATTTTTCAAGTCAAATGTAAGAAATTACAGCCTGTAGCAAACACCATGTGTTTTCTTAACTATGTAAAGCTCTCTGGAGTTAAGTCACTGAACGTGTGGCATTAGAATGAGTTGAGACAACAAATGACAGCATGTGTGTTGAGACTGGATTTGTGAGGTGCAAATATCTTTGTTTCATCTTTTTTTTTCCTTTTTTTTTTTTTAACCTTTCACTCATGATGGATTGGTTTTGAAATAGCAACTGTTAGATAGGGGTTTTTTAAGATGTAACTGTAATTCCTAGAAAAGGTGGAGAGCACCACACCCTTGCTTTTCCTCACGTGGAAAGCAAACAGCTTTGAGGTGGTTAATGCTGAGCAACCCACTCCTATCTGCTAAGCCACAGGGTAAACACAGTGAACCTTAGAGGCAAGGTAAATGGAAGTGGGACCACCAGCTGCTGCTATGGACATGTGCTCTGGGTTTGGTAACTAAGACAGTGTAGTCCTGTGCACGTGTTTGTAAGGCTTCTACTGGAGAAAGTGCAGGGAAGTTCTCATGTAATGCTACAGTCTCAGATTTTTGAGACCAATTTGTATATGGCACTTGATGGAGCTGTTAAATCTGGGCATTTAGATCCTACTCTTCAGACTTGAAGTATTTAGAAAAGCAGTATGGTTTTTTGGCCAGTAATGGTGATCTAGGTGGTTGTGAGTTCAAAACAGCTTAAGGTATTTCAGTTATTTGCTTTTCTAATTGTTGCACCTGAAAGTAATAGTGAAAAATTTTTCTTCTGTCCCTAGTGTGGAGCTTGCAAAGTGCAGTAGGGACTTTATCAGTCTTCTCAAAAGTAGTAGCCCCGATCTATATGCCTTGGCTTATTTGTGAATCTACAACAGTGCCACCTTGTTGGAGGGTAGCAGTCTGAAAGGGAGTTTCTTACGGCTTCATCTGGCAGGCAAAGTGCTTAAAGATTTCTCACTTTGTTTGTAGTTACTTCAGTTCAAGGCCACAGCCTTTTCTGAATTGTCTTTTTCTGTCGTTGGTGAAGTTCCAGAATTGGGGAAGAATTACTTCCATGTAAGTACACTGTAGCTCCTTATGCCTGCACTGGTCAGTGTATTTGCTTTCTCTGACCTAGCAACTCCTCTGCATCAGCACTCACATGCTAGCTAACAAGAGAGGAGAATTTCTGGAAGTATGACATCACCTCTAAAATCTGCTCTTTTTGTGACATAGCCTGTTCAGGGGCAGTAGAGCCACTGATACTGATGATAATTATAATTTAACTTGATTGTACAGAAAAGAGATAAATAAAAAGTATGACTATCTGCTTGTTCTGTTTCAAGCTTGTTGCACTGGGCATCCGCCTGAACTGTGTCCGTAGGTGGTCAGCCTTTCAAAGGTTAAAATCTAGTGTGGTAAAACTGCAGAGCTGTGTAGGCACTTGAGGTGGATGATCTTCCTATCAAACTTGGTTTCCTTTCGTTTTTCTAATAGAAGTTTTCAGTGTCTTGCAGTGTGCAAGACATGCTGTGTGATGCACTGTGGCAGTGCCCTCCTCTTCCTGCAGGAGGAGGAAGGCTCCTTCACCACCTTACACTGCCTGGTACTGTGGGCCCTGTAGAAGTGCTCGGTGTTTAATCTGAGGCCATTAGATGAATGCCTGGAGCAAGCCTGGCTGGCCCAGTGCAGGAGCTTGTAGAGATGAGGTGTTCTCAAAGGCAACATATATTGTCATGAAGCAAAATGTATTTGGAAAGAGTTAACACCCACTGACACCAAGGAAAACTCTGACTTTATGCATAGCCTTGTGGTTAGTCACCGTTGATAAAGTTCAAGTCTGGATTCAAACAAAAATATTAGCTAACACTCCTCTGACATCAGTGTGCCTGACAGGATTGCTCGTGACGTGGCTGTGGCCATCGCTGGCTGGCATTGCTGTGGAATCTCATTCCAATGCCCTAATGAGTGAGCTTATTCCAAACAGAAGATTCCCGAGTCAGTCACCACAAGCCAAGCACTGCCAAAAGTTATCTGCAGTTACTGTGTAGAAGTTTCTTGCCTGGGGAAGCTCAAGAATCTGTTAAACAGGGAACATGCTTGTTCCCTTGACTTGGGCATAGATTTTTGGAAGCTGATGACCCTCGTGCACCAAAATAATGATTTATAAAAAAAAAAAAACAAAAACACTCAAGTTGCAAGTATGTTCAAGGTCTTCATCCCAGTGGTGTGTGGCATGTGTTGTAATGCCAGAAAACTTGTGAATATTCTCAGTATTCAGATACTCGTACAGAGCTCTGACCACGGGAGCGTCTGGTTGAAAGCAATGAGGGTTTGTTCTTAAAATTGCTTGACCGTCTGGGCCATTTTGTTGATCTTTCTAGGCTCTTGTTCAGGCCATATGAGGAACAGTAAGAAATGGGAAAAATCAAGGAGTGTTAACTAAGGGAGGAAGAAGGAGAAAAGCCTTGGTGCTTTCTGATACTGCAGCCAGAGTGCATGCCACAGATTGAGTGGAGAAATGACGATGGGAACGACTGTTTCACTAGCCTGTGAGCTGGGAAGACAAAGAGCTTTAAATGAGAAGCAGCAGATGTGGAAAAGGCAATGGATTAAACTACAAGGAGACCATAACACCCAGAAACAACATTGTGATCATGTGCTGTGCTTGCTTTCTGTGGGTCTGCTGCTAGACTTTAAGACTGCAGTTATTCTAGAGAGTCTGAGGGATTTTTGTGGATTAAATATAAAGGGCAGATGATGTCTCACGCAAAAGCTAAATTGGATTAATGCGTGTAATAATTAAACTGGATCCTGTGAACTGTAGTGAGATACACGGAGTATTTGGTACTCATTAATTTGCAGTGACATGAACACTTCATAACTACTGTTTTTTTAAAATATTGCTTCTGACTTAAAAGTATTGTAGAGAGGGAGAAATTGCACAGCAAAGTATGAGCACCAAAAATGCAAGTTCAAATAAATAGAAACTTTTAGTTTGTTGTCTCTTCATCCTAGGCATGAAATAACGCCTACGACAGGCACCTTGAATTTCGTGTGAGCTGGACT